CAAAATGAACAAATCTGAGAAAGGTCAACATGTAGCATCTAGGTATATATGTAATATCAAAGCAATTGGACTTGCGGATTTTAACAAGAAGTTGAAAATATCACTTTTTACCAAAAATGACAAAAATATTCACCAAAATTAGAGAATTGAAGATATCATTACAAAATGAACAAATCTGAGAAATGTCCACATGTAGCATCTATATATGCAGTATCAAAGCAATTGGACTTGCGGTTTTTAACAAGAAGTCAAAAATATCACTATTTACCAAAAATGACAAAAATATTCACCAAAATTAGAGAATTGAGGATATCATCATGAAATGAACAAATCTAAGAGAGGTCTACCCCAGGTACATACACACCAAGTATCAAAGCATTCAGGCTTGTAGTTTTCAAGAAGAAGTCGAAAAAGTAAAACATTGACACGGACGACGGACGCCGACGGACAATCACTCATATGATAAGCTCCGGTCGACAAAGTCGACAGCGGAGCTCATAAATAAGCATTCTACACATCATAAACAGAAATTGATTGAAAATTAATTTTTTCCCTGGAAAATTGACAAAAATTTGAGTTTGTGTTCACTATATTTGATTGGACATTTTTTGAAACTATGTGAAAGTAAAACTGATGTCGTTTCCTCACTATTTAAAGGACAGAAAAAAATATATGTGAATTTCCACAAATAACATAACCTTGGTGAAATTAACATATATGTAAATTAGATCACATGATTTAAACTCACCCATTTTTTTCATATTCAAACCAGAATCTGTCAGCATCTCTAATTCTTAAGAATTGATTCATAATAATTGATCTAAATAATGGTCCTGGTCCCTGTGGTGTCGTTTCCAACAATCCGCCAGTCCAAATGTCAACTCTGCTGATATTGCCGTCATGTACGTCAGATAACCGATCAAACAACTGAGAAACAAAATCAGATATCCAAATTTATTGGAATTACTGAAATGGGAAACCGAAAGCATCACCAGCACTCAGACATACTGAAAAGCATTTGATATTTATTAAACATTCTCTATGATACAAACTAATTCAGATCAAACATGATAGTCCAAAAATTAAAAAGAAAAATTCTATGAGATTTAAGTTATACTTATAATATAAATATTATTTAAATTCAAATTTAATGAAAAATTATGTCAGTATAAAAGTTTAAATTTTTTTTTCAGTTATTGTATCCATTAAACCATGACAACATAAATTACTTACGGCTGGATCAAGATCATACAAAAAAGGATTAATCTCTTTCCAGTCCTTAATCTCAGGTAGTCCATAGTGATTTCGCGCAGTGTTGTAATTTGGTAAACCGTGATCTCGTCCTCGCTGTATATTCAGTGCCATCAAATCTCTGCGGGAAAAATCCAGTGGACCAAATACTTTGCCTGAAATAGTTTTGTAATACATATGAAAAAAGAACACATCAATTTATTTGTGCATTTGTAGTTACTGTGATGTCAAAATTAATTGGGGAAATGTTGTGGAAATAATCTTAAAATACAAAAAAAATATTTGAAAATTTGCTCAAAATTAAAATATTCAGAAGATGGATCCAATCTGTTAAAAAGTATGCAAAGTTGTGAAAAGTGATTGGAAAGTTGGTAGATTTGCTTGAAAATTTGACCTAAGTTGTTGTTGTATCAAACCCTGCAGTAAATTGTGAGAACAAAATTGAAAGTTTAGTGAAACCATGTATATTAGGTGATTGTCATGCAAGCTGACAGCAAAATGTTTAAAAACATAGTTTCACTTGACTTCACTATTTTTCAACAGCAATTTACATGTACTTTAAAATACTTTATTTTCACTTGGAATTTATTTTCGTTGAAATAAATTTCAATTAATTCCAGCTAAAATAAAGAATTTTACAATATTTGATTTGTGCACCTTTATAAATGCAAAATTGACTCTCACTGATTTCCACCAAGTTAATCAAGTAACCATAGTGATTGATTTGTTAAATTAACTGTTTTTATCAATTCATACTGGGAGTAAAATCTGAAACATTAAAATATGATTAGTATAAAAACAAATGGTGATGTGGAATATAACATCTAACTATAGATGGCAATATTCACCTCTGAGATCAGGTGTAATGATATTGTCTTCACGTTCTGCTATCTGTGATGCCATTCCCATCAAAAACTCATCAATATCACTCTCTTCAATTGATTCCTGTCATAAACAAAGCAAAAAGTGTGAAACTGAGTAAGTGTAATTATATCATCTGTATACAAAATTTGGATTCAACCATTTTCTGATCAAAATAACTCACCAGAAGGAGTTGCCATGGAGAAATCATACAATCTCAATAAAACAACTTCAAGATGTATACTTCAAATGGATGAAATGTCATTTTAGCAACAACAAATCTTAGGACAGAATGAATCCAGATTTTTTGTAACCTTACCTGGGGATTCCAATATGTGTTGCATATTCGTAACCCATGGTAACCAGATGCACCAGTTAACAAAGAAGTATTACGGAATTCACACTGAGCATTCCTGAAAAAGAGATAATAAAACTGATAATTTCATTTTATTTGTCGCAATACATCAAGCTCAATATTCATTCCCATGAGATTGATACATTTTAAACATGTGCTTATGATAGGAAATAAACTATATGTACAAAAATTAAAAAAAATTATACAAAATTAATATTCACGTATATAACAATAAATTACTTATTTATGTCACTGAACAAAACAGAAATAATCGCACCATATAATCAATGTAAAAATGCTGGTTTTGACTATTTTGAATACTGTAGAATACTTTATTTTCACTTGGAATTTATTTTCGCTGAAGGGACGATTCAGTGAAAATAAAATCCAGCGAATATACTTTTTTTTTTTATATTTCACATTCAACTCATCAAAAATCAGTGAAAATAAATTCCATACAAAACGTCTAAAAAGCCTTTTCAATGAAAATTAATTCCAGCTAAAATAATGTATTTCACAGTATGTGTATCCAGGGACGCCATTTCATTTTTTCATTCCTGGTATCACAAATGTATGAACATTTGAGCCAAGAAATTAAAGCACAGTCATTATGCACATCCTACAAAAGTTTGAGTTTACACATAATGTACTTTAATATACCATAATTCCCTGGTCATAAGCCCCTCCCTAGGTATACGCCCACCCCTTATTTTTAGACATTTAACAAATTAAGAGCATCATCATATATAGACTCAGGGTGTTATAACCAGGAGCATGACGATGGGTTAATATTTATTAACATATGCAAGTAAAAAGTGTTTCATTGCATAAAAATCGTGATTTGTTCATGCTTTTACGAGAAAACTCGCATTACATGTTAAACAACGCAACATGGTTCACAATATTTCTATTCTGTTATTACTAGAGATGAACCCCGATTTTGCAGTACTGAAGTGCTAGATTTCGGAACACCAAAGACGTGAATGTCAAGTCATGAAACCTGGTCATCGTTCGTGAATAATCAGTGTTCATTGAGACTATCGTGAATTAGGTAAACGGTGCCTGGACGTGACCTTTTGGCAACTTTGAAAGGTGTTAAATACTTCCTCCACACTCAGTTTACCTTTCAAAAATTGTGAATCACCAGTTTTTAGTGAAAAAAATCACTGTTTTTTCATCAAAATCAGATTGTATTTTAACATCGCGGTAATTCAATTCCGCATCAATAATTAGAAATTTCTGGAAAATTTTGATGGTACGACACAGCATTTTGATGGATTCATGGCAGACTTGACCTATTAGGTCAAAGGACGTTGCAGGTCAAATCGTGCTGATTTGTGTATAATTGAAAACATCCCACAATGAATATAACGATAAAGATCTTGTGTTCAACTGTTTTCCCACAGATCCTACTCATTTTTAAACCATAACTTCAGATGGTATGTAAATCATATTGTAATAAAATGTGCACATTTTTTTTTTCATTGTAAAATTGTTGTGGAAATCAATAACGACTCATTTTGCAATTTTTTTTGCAATTTTTTTTTTCTTTGTTTATTACTGTATTTACTGTATTTATTAAAGTCCTGTAATTTTTTTTGTTATGG